ATTACTGAAGTGGTAGCTCTCAATCTAATTACATTAAATATAAATGGCCTAAGAAAATGACCTAACTACATACTATCCACAAGACACAAATCCACTGTCGCCTGGATGATTACAACTCAGAGACACTATAGGGCAGACTAAAACTACTCCATACAATTCCCCAGGCTACAAATCTCTGCGGAAGCAGACTGTCTTTCTCTCAGGGAACGCCCCCCTCTACACTACACTTTGGGTTAGCTGCCCAACACAGCCCACTGTGCCAAGAAACCCACTTTAACAAGGATGACATAAAAACTTCAAACCAAAATCACTGCCATCGAGTGAATTCCGATTCGTGCTGTGGTTCGGTGCCATCACGTTGGTCCCGACATAGCCACCCTGTGTACAACAGGGCCAGATACTGCCAGTCCTTTGTCACCTGCAATTGTTAATGTTTGAGCCACTGTCTCCGCCAAATTCCGATTCAGAGTGACATATAAGTACGTTAGAACAAAAAAGATTTTGCAGCTCTCTTCAAAAACATTGCAGCTCTCTTTTTGAGAGTAAATGGATAAACCATAGTACATCCATATGATAGTCTACTACTTAGTATTAAAAAATAACTATTGATCTCTAAGGAAGTGATTCTCAACCTATGGGTCGCAACCCCTTTGAGAGTCCAACAAACCTTCCACAGGGGTCGCCTGATTCATAACAGTGCAAAATTACAGTGATGAAGTAGCAACAAAATAATCTTATGGTTGGGGGGTCACCACCACATGAGGAACTGTATTAAAGGGTCACAGCAAGAGGAAGGTGGAGCACCACTGCTCTGAGGCACCATGCTGAATAAAAGAAGCTAGTCTCAAAAGGTTATATGGGGGGGAGGTTATATAGGGGAGTAAGTAAAAAAGTATTGCTACTCGGCTGCCTCTTCATGCATATGCAGATTTATTCCAAATAAAATGTGTTTATGTCTCTGTGATCAGTGGATGGCTGCCGATAAATTCTGCAAGTATGAACTGTCTTAGTCTTGTTATGTGCCTTCTAAGACAAAAAAATTAAGTTTTGTGCAAAGAACAGCTAGCTTAGAGTTAGTCTTTCCAACAGTCTTTTAAGCAAGATCAAAGATAATGATAATTTCATTAAATGTACAGTAACCAGGCACAAGGCTTAGATTTATCAATACAATCTAGAGCAAGGTCCAATCAAAACAGTGGTCTCTGCTAGGCCAGTTCAATTGAAGCCCAAGAAGTCAACTCAGAAAGTTATGATGACTATTTTTCAGGCGTGGTGGTTAAGCTTTGGGCTGCTTACTGCAAGGTCCAATGTTTGAAACCACCTACCCCTTCAAGGGTGGGTGGTTTCTACTCCCGTAAAGAGTTACAGTCTCAGAAACTCACAATGGTCGTTCTACCCTGTACTACAGGGTCACTAAGAGTCGAAATTGACTCTCTGGCAGTGAGTTTGGTTTGGGAATGGGTTAATAGTCTTGAGAGATTTTCTCAAAGAGCACAGGGCACACAGAGGCTTATTACACAGAACTTTCAAGATACTGAAAACTGCAAAAAAGCTGGGAAAGTTATGCTAAGGATTTTTTTTAATCATGGTAATGTACCTGCTCATTCCTTGAAAGTAACAAGGATCATCCAATGAGAATTTCATGGGAAGCCTTACCTCATCCACTCTCCAGCCCTGATCTTGACCCTTCAGACTTCTTTTTGTCCCCCTAACCCAAAGAACATTGAAAATGAGCATGAACTGAGCCCTTTGGGGTGGTCAAAAGTGTCCTTTTGCCGTAGTGGAATTCAAAGAGTGCAGAATGCTTCAGGGAAGGATTAAACTCACTACCATGGAGTGAAATGCCAGCTCAAAAGGACCCTACAAGGCAGGGTAGAACTGACCCTGGGAGTTTCCAAGACTATAACTTTTTATTTTTAAATCATTTTATTGGGGGCTCATACAGCTCTTATCATAATCCATACATACATCCATTGTGTCAAGCACATTTGTACTTATATTGCCATCATCATTTTCAAAGCATTTTCTTTCTACTTGAGCCCTTGGTAACAGTTTACTTCCTCCCTCCCCAACCCTCCCTCCTTCATGAACCCTGGATAATTTATAATTTTTTTCCCATGTCTTACGCTGACTATAACTCTTGATGGGAGTAGAAACCCCCATCCGTGTCCCAGGGAAGGGTTGGAGAGGTGGAAATAGCACGTTCAGAAGGGTACAGGCCTACATGGTGGCTATGTCAAGGTACAACAGCTGCACATTTTGATGTTTTTTAACAGAGGTCTTTATGATCTTATACCAATACTTTTCGACGAACCCTCACACTCTCACTCCATTTCTCAAACTCCATTTTGGAAATGGCAAAACTGTAGGGACTAAAAACAGATGCAGTGGTTATGCTAGTCACTGCCATGGAGTCGACTCCGACTCACAGCACCCTCTAGGGCAGAGTTTCCGAGACTCGAGTGTAACTCTCCACGCAAGTCCAAAGCCCAGTCTTTCTCCTGCGGGGCGGCTGGTGGTCTCAAACTGCTGATATTGGCAAAGGCAGCCGAACGTGTAACCACTACGCCAGGAGGCTTAAGGGCACTAAAGCTAAAAGGGACAGCATAAGGGAGTCGGGGGCAGTTGTGTGGTAGTCATATGAGTGTATACATGGGTTAGGCAACTAGGTGGCTAACCATTGGCACGACTAAGAAAGTTTACAGTTTAAGCCCACCCAGAGGCACCTGGGGGAAAGGCCTGGCGTCTGGAGCACTGCTCAGCTCTGAACACGTGGAGTCCGAACAGACTCAACCAAAATTGGTTGGGCTGGCTGTAGTTGTTTGTTTGTTTGGGGGGTTGCTTTGTTTGCTTTGTTGTACATAGTTATATATTAAAACTCAGAACTGTACACTAAAAAGTCCATTCTAACTACATGTTAATTTTTTAAGTGAAATAAAGGGATAAGCTCTGGTCTTCTCCAGGTTAAAGAAAAAAAAGGGGGGGGCAGGGAGAGGAAAGGAAAAAAGAAGGAACGTTGGATTCTCCTGGCATTGAGCAGAAAGCACGAGTCCCCTTGACGAGTGCACACACTTACAAAGCAAACCCAATCTTCAAAAATGATTTTCCAGAAGAGGGTAAGAAAAGCAGAGATTCGGATCCAAAGGGTCCATTTTAAAATGCCCACGAAGGGCTTGTCTACTTCCATATTTCACATTGGCACCAAGCTGCCAATTGCTCCAGGCTGAGAGCCACTTTCTCCGTTTGGGCTTACTCCATTTACAATCAAACCTTTATCTAGAACTGATCACTTGGCGGTGAGTCTTTCAGGGGCACTGCAGACTGCGCAGAAGTGGTAGCTTCGGCAGGAGGGTGCTTGAAGAAACAGTGCTGCAAGTTCCCTGCGGGACGCGGCACCCCTCCAGGCCCACACCTTGAAGACCCCAGCAGAGGTTTCCACAAATCAGCACGCCCCGCGCTCCGCGACAGTCCTCGCGAGGCGGCGGCGACCGGAGCGGGCTCTGGGGCATTTCTGCGCACCCCAAAAGCGCCGGC